AAAAGGCTCAGGACCAAAAAGTGCAGATGCTGCACCTTTTTTTGCAAGGCGATCAGCTGCCTCATTTCCTTTGATTCCTTCATGCCCTGGAACCCACATAAGTGTGACTTTGTTGTCCTTTTCCAGTTGCATGAGTGTTTCAAAGCAGTTCCATGTGATCTTTGACTGTTCTAGATATTTTCATGAAATTCCACATGCACCTACTAAGCACCAATAGGCATTCTTAGATGCATGAGATTTTCTAATATTTCGGTGGGGTATACCGCAGATTTTTGAAAAAAAATATTGTACGTCCTTTCTTTTTCCGAAACTGAAAATCATTTTTGAAATTCTCATTCATGTTGCAACAATTTGATCTAGACAATTTTATGTACCGACGCATCGTTTTCACGTGAAAAAATAAAAACCATTTTTATAGATCTGTGGTATAACGAACTTATTTTGAACTAGTACGCTGGTGCCCTATTTTGTATTCAAAATATTCACATTTGATCGATTCAGTTGCGGTCTTATTGTGATAAATATGCATAAACGTGAGTTTTTTACATTCTTCAATCAATGATGAAGAGAAAATATATAATCACTCTATAGCTCGAAAGTTGAGAGTGGGGCATATTATGTTCATATGACCTGTTTTTCTTAAAATGAGCTAAGGAGCCATATATCCTATATTTTTAACAATCAATGAAATTACAAACTGTATATTATGAGGCACATGGAAGCTTGTAATTCCATTGTCACTATTATGAGAATTGATGCATGAAAAGTGAGAAGGCGGCTTCACTGACAGCTCGTCGAAAATCAGTCAGATGATCACCTTCGTTGGATTGTACAATTTTTCCTATATAGAATCAATCAGATACATATCATTATTTCAAAAAAGCAACTTATTTTATTCAAGGATACACAATATATTGTCCTGAAAGTTGTGTCACTATGACAAAATATTTAGTAAACATAATTCGTCCGAGTGGCAAATTATATGTTAGGATAACAAAAAACGAAAATGTGATAATGGTAATGTCTCCGTTCAGAAGAATGCAAGCGGATTATTTGATTTTTCTTTTTTGATTGTCATCTTACTGTTCAGCTGATATGAATCCACTTCTGATATCTGAGTTTGGAATGGAAATTTCATAAATTTATAAACAAATCCTATAACTCACTTTTTTTGTCAGCTCTTGTCACTGAGAATTGTCAAGGGAGAGAAACAAAGGCAACTTGCTCCCGTGTTTTCGTTCCTAAACCGTCCAATGACACGTAAAAACTATATTTTCAAATATTATTTGGTTTTTGTCGAAAATACATTTTCCAGCCTGGTGATGCCTTGGGATACGTTTTTCATGGGACACCCTGTATGTGAAGAAAAAAAATTCGAAGCCCCCTTTTAGAAACGATTTCCTACCAAAGTTAGATGGACTGAGAGACAGTGTGAAGGAAACATTAAGAGGCTTGATACGGATGAAAAACAAAAAGTCAACAATTCTTAACTTCTCTCCCTATTCTCCCTCTAGGTACAAATGATGTTCAACGAACACAATAGGGATTCCCTTTCGTGTGTTTCAGAGGATAAAAGAAGAACCAAATATCCAACACTTCGAGCTGAAGAACATTCGTCTAAACGGGGAGGTTAAACAATCCCCATCACTAAAGATGTCATTACCTGAAATTCTCCATGAGCTACTCTTTGAGAAATTTAATGAGATGCTTACCGTACTGAACTTATCGCGAAGAATCGATCTTTTAGTTAACTGAAAGCATGTCCCGATGAATTAAGGTTCCTTGCCTCGTTTCGAAATACTTTGTGAGACACCGTTCATAATCTAGCAATTTATTTTAAATTGGAACACCGTTTCATCTAACCAGGAAGCTGATCATCCTACCCACCACAAAGATTATAAAATAATGTAGAAAAGCATAATTTATTCGGTCATCGCCACACAAATTTTTCGATGAAGTGACTGAGTAAACCAATACATACCTTTCATGACAATATTAGCAAATTGCTTTTCACCTTGTTACATTCTCACTACTGAGATCAATTGAGTTAAGAAGGAGGTGAGACGGATCTGAGTTGTGGATTGATAAAGAGAACACGTTTTTATCTGTCAGGCAGGGCAAGGGATGAAAACATAACCCAACATAATTCAACCAAAATTTTAAATGGCTGAGGAAATTTTGGAAACGAATTGATCATTTTTTTCGAAGGAAATGAAAATATAACCTCACAATTTTCAGCACAGAACCACAGAATTAGTAGAATTAATCCAGTCTGACCTCTTTCTCACTACAACACCAGATGAATAGCAAGCTCAGTTGGGGTGGGGGGGAAGAAATAGTCTCAATGGGTTCTTGAGACAACTCACATCAGACTAAGATAAATGAAACTTGTAATACCACTGAGATATTGAGCTGCACTAAGAATCTTGGTTAATCTCAGTCAAAGTTGGTAAGAAGAATAATACACAAAAATAATCTTTGAGGTTCTTCACGAAACCGTTTCAACAATTCACCTGCAAAACCTGTAATCTCGCCACCATTCGCTTGTATTTTTCTATTGAGCACACAAAGACCGTTCAAGCAATTCTCTAGCAATAGGGGAGTGTTTTTTTTCCTGAATACAATCATCACTCCAATACCTTTCAATTTCATATTTTTTTGAATTTGAAAGTAGGGGCAGACCATAGCACAGTTGCCATATGTTGAAATACGATAGGGTATTTCAGAAATATTATTTATTCAATAACCCATGGATTCTCAATTATGTATTGGTAATATTCCTGATTATCAATGAAAAATCAATTATCTCTGAATGTGCCCTCATGTGTTGTGGCTCTAGAGGACATTTGAACCGGTGAACGTGACAACACTGCGCACGAATTGTGGGCGGTGTCTTGTCAGTTCTCAGCATCCAGCATTGTTGCCAAGTCTTCGACATTTACATACTATTTGATTTGGAGTATGAGAAATATTTGGAGATGCTGGTTGCTCGAGAAAGTCAAGAATGACCAATAATATCATGGCTTCCTCCTATTATGTTTTATCTACTGTTTTATTCAATGACAGGAGTGACAAGACTCTTATATCTTTCTGATAACTTGATTATCATTGGTGACTTGTAGGTTTCATTTTAATCATCATTAATAATTTTTTATTCATACAATATTTTTCTTATACGTGTAATACCAGTAATTTTCCTGTTTAGGTAAATATATACTACATAGTAGGTATATAAAGGCATTTTTCAGAATTCATTAGAGAGCCAAGTACTATTGATATTTCACAATTTCACCACTCTGGACATCATGAAGCTTTCACTACAAATCCACGTATGGAAATAATGTTGCCAATTTGAGGAGATATAATGACTTTCCAGAATATCCGCCATTGCAGACACACGACTAATGCGTTTCCGGGAAAAATGTTTTCCGGAGACTTTATGTATAAGTCGAATATCATATTTAGTGGAAACGACAAAAAATGCTTTATGAACAAAACGAAATCATTAACATCCATAGTTGATGATGATATTTCCATGAATATTTTAATGACGTATTAACAAAGTGTATTCAGTTTTTCAACCAATTAGTTTTGTGCAATATGTTGAATCTAGATGACACAATTTCAGTTTCCATTTTTCTTTCACATAAATGAAATATTAATTTCCACTGCTGAGGGTTACCTACAGTTCCATTCATAAAGTCGGAATATGGAAACAATTTTCAATAATTATTCATTTCCAAATTCAAACGTGACTTTCGCTACGCATTTCAAAACTTAAATTTATTTAAATCAATCGCGGAAAGCGGGCTTATTTGTATGAATTTCAATGAAGTTTACTGAGAAAAGTTGTTTCTCTTCCAATTTCACATATGTGTTTCGAATTTGAACGTTCTATAACAACTTTTAGTTTTTTTTTTCAATTTTTACGGAATGTGTATAATAAAAAAAAAATAACACCGACGAAACAATTTCATTCTAGTAGCATCATCATGCTACTGATTATTCCCTCCATGTTCTTGGAATATAATACGAATTTCCTATCGTGCGCTCCAAAAGATTTAAAAAATCACAATTCACGACAAAAATTATCCATTTTGACAAATATTTTATTGAAACAAATGAGCTCTCGATTTTTTTCAGTAAATTAGCGTTATTGTCAGAAGACAAATTTAAAGTCAATGAAGAAACAATATTGATAATTTTATACCTCTCGCCTACTTACTAGGTTTTCATCAGCTATACACCAGAAAGGTCATGATTGACAGATATATAAATAACACCAAAAAAATTCAAGGGGGATTCCTTGTGATATTTTAGAAAATAGAGTTCATATGAACTTACGTATTCTGAAATCTAGATTACTTTTTCCGAAATATAACTTACCGATTCCGAAATTGAAGTTGAAAAGGTATGTAACTACCTACTTTACAAAATGGAAAGTTGTTGTACTTCCATACCTACTTACTTTTCACGCAAACTTACCTTTGGAACTGCATACAAATCTGTAAAAGAGTCATTTTCTTTGCCGCAAATCACACACCCACGAGTTTTTCGTTTTTCCACCATCAGAAAATCTGACAACACAAAAACAAAACTATGAACAAACTGAGGAAACAAGACGAAAATGATAAGTGGATTCCAATAATCGAAATAAAACACACTGGAAACTGGGATTTGAATAACACACAAGAAAAACAATGAAAATCTGGAAAATTGGAATTTTGAGTGACACTGACAATTGTCAAGAAGTAAGGTTGATATTACAGAAATCTGTAAGAAATTTGCCATCTTACCGGAGAAGTGAGAACTATTATGCCATTTTTAATGACAATGAGGTGTAAGCGTTTTGGTCAAAACAAAACACTATCAGTGTTTTCACCATCTTCTCTCCATCCTTCTCAAAAGCTAACATTTTCGGTTGGTAATCGTCCCAATCGAGAGCTAGCACAATACAGAATAAAAACCGTCAAAATTCACAGCACACACTTTTTCCTTACCTTGGATTTCCACGTAGGGCGGCATGATGCAGGGCGTTGAATCCATTGTTGTTGGTTAGGGTTATGTCGGCATTGTGATCCAGTAAAAGGGTTAACATGTCGTCACGTTTCTTGGAAATGGCGTCGTGCAACGGAGTGTCGCCTTCGAGGTCCTGGAAGCGAAGAGAAAGGATACGTGTTAGTGGGTCTTCTGACAATCGGATGGCCCGTGAAATCGAGGTTTTTTTATGCATTAAGGGGTACTTTGTTGAGGCTCGCTGCACAGTATATTACCCTTAGGCAATACCTTTGAGAAATAAATACAAAAAGCTCAGTCATTTCCACACAATGTTCTTAAAATGAACAAGAATGGTAGATTTCGGGAGAAAAACAACTACTTTCCGGGCTTATGTCACACAGAACATTGAATTTCATCCTGCCTATGCATCGACTCGTATAAACGAATACTGAAGTGAATCTTTCCGGAATGCTTATTGATTTCGATTTAACCAGGCAACAGTAAACATCTACAGACCGGTTTCGAGCTCTTTGACTCTCATCAGTGCAGGGCAGTGCTTGTTGGAGCTTCGATACTAGTATGGGTCAAGATGTTCACTTCACTAGATTTTCGTGATCATCAACGAAATGATCATTGTTCTCGTTTTCAATTTTGGAATCAAAAAGATCATCTAAGAGACCCAATTTATTATATTTTTTTTATATGTACTGGTGCCCACGAAAAGGGATATCCTGTAATGTTCAGAGAACATCGTGAGAACTAAGGGAAATTAGGTAGGAATTGGTGTTCTACTTCAATTTCTAGAGGTTATATGCCTCGGGGAACACCTCCCTTGGCAATGTGTTGCAGAGCCTCGCTGTTCGTTGAATGAACGAGTCTTTGGAAAGAGATGTTCTGCAGGTCTTCGATGTGACCACGAAGAGGTGCGAAGCTTCAACTTGTCGGGTTAATCTTGCGGGGACTGCCAAGGGAGGAACAATTGTTGATATTTCAGAAGAGCATCGTCCATGGAAATATTTATAGAATAGAGCCAGATCGCCAACTTTTCTACGGTGTCCCAGAGGAGTGAGTGAGTGAGTTTGTGAACGAGGCATCACCCACCCAATGGATGTCTTCAAAGGTATGGTTACTCCTGACAAGCTTATGTTGGGCACAGTGAGATCGGCTTCTCTAGAGAAAAGGCATGCTTGTGTTTTGTTTCCATTGAAATCTACCAAGTTATTGGATCCCCATTCGATATAGTATTATTATATAGTAATAATGCTCCAAGTCGTCTCCGTCTCCACAACGTTATCATTGAATAATAAATAGATAGGGGATATTGAGAAATTATTGTGGAGAAGAAAGAATTTTGGAATCACATGAAGTTACAAAATTATTTTATGAAAATTTAAAACAGAGAAAATACGTTTTTTGTGTTATAACAGGTTTTCTAAACAGGGGCCCTGTGTCCCGATGAGTTAGTGGAATCACCACATTAGGAGGCCGAAAGACATCCGAAAATGAAATGGAATGAAAATAAGATGGGAATGTTTTTTCTTATATATACAGTGTGTCCACCTCGAGGACTTACCACCCCTGTAAAATTGTTATTATCTGACCGATTTCAAAAAACGTTTTTTTGTTGGATAGGTATTTGAAATGTCCATCCAACAAGAGAGTGATTTTACTCATGAACTGTAATCGTGGCCAACTGCGACCAACTTTATTGACCCATATTTGAGAAAGTACTATAAGGGATTTTTTTCACAAAAAACAATGATGGGTTCTGAATCACGATCACTTGAAAAACACCTTTACTGATTTTTATCATCCTAAAACACAGGCTGTCCGAAAAAACGAATTATGTTTTTTTTTAATAGGTGATCAAAAAATTTAGTATTGTGCTATTTCTGAGAAGAATTGAAGACACATTATTATTGATGATCACTTTGAACATATCTGTACCGATTTTCATCATTCAAAAATACGATGTGTATGAGAAAACAATTAAAAACAAAATATAGGCAATATTTTTTCATCAACTCGAAAAAAATATTAATTTGATTTTTCGAACACCCTGTGTTCAATGATGACGAAAATCGGTACAGGTATGTTCCAAGTAATCCTGATTCATCTTTTTATTTTGAGTGAAGAATTATCAGGATGAAAAATATTGCTTACCTATCCTTTTTAATTTTTTTCTCAGACACATTGTATATTCAAATGACGAAAATTGGTACAGGTATATTTTAAATAATCCTCAATGATAATTTGTGATTATTTCTTTCTAGAAAAACTACAGAACTACATTTGCTGATCACCTATTTGAAGAAAATGATGATTCGTTTTTTCAGGCACCCTGTGTTTTATGATGATGAAAATCGGTACAGGTATATTTCAAGTGGTACTGATTCAGAATCCATCATCAAGTTTCGTGGAAAAAATCCCTTATAGTACTTTCTGGAATATGGGTCATTGAAATTTGTCGCAGTCGGCCACGATAACCGTCCAAGAATTAGATCACTCTCTCGTTGGATGGGCATTTCAAATACCTATCCAACAAAAAAAGGTTTTTTGAAATTGGTCGGATAATAACGATTCTACAGGGGTGGTAAGTCCTTAAGGTGGACACACTGTATATTGCCAAGAACTCGCCCAAGAACATCGATAGTAATGCCAATTTGTTTAGTGTTTTTCAAATTATATATTGGTTCTGTTACATTCTTCATTTTTCAAATGGGATGACAGCAGATTATGCAAATTTAAAAAAAAAAAACGGTAGTTGCAAATAACCAGGTTGCTGGTTCTACTTTGCAAAAAAGTTAACATTCCGAGTTGATAAATGAGACACACACAAAGCCATGTACTTGCCAGTTCCGGAAAAAAATTCACGTATGCCGTTCAACATTGACAAATAAATTCTAATTCAAGTGTTGGCAGGAAACTAGCACAAAAGTAACAGACAACAATAAAACAAACGTATACGCTACATTACACTGAACAGAATTTCACACCTCGAAAACAAGTCTGTAATGGGTAGGATGAAAAAAAAAAGTGCCTAACTGGCTACCGACGTTAAATAACGCAGGCAACATGCGATCCGATTCGGATATCTAATTCAATTATCAAATAAAATCGAATGGGATTGTGAAGCGGGTATCGTTAAAACTTTATTTTTCATAGGGTGTAGCATACCGGGTGTGTCAAATTCAATCCTCACTATTGGGATTTCAGAAACTAGGTATTAGGTATACGAAGATGGTTGAATTGGGGCAAAGATGCGCAAGAATCTGGATGGTTCCTTATTTGCAGACTGTGACATTTTCGTGTTCTATTCACCTTCATCTACCACATATGATTAAGTTATTTGAGATAAATGAACACCAAATATTTTTAAATGAAAATTTCCAAAACGTAATTCGATCACTCATTGCAATAATGGGTTCTTGATGTGATTTTTTCGAATGATTTGAAGGTTTATACTATATCTATTCGAAGTTAAACCATATTACCACCAAATGAATAATTTCGTACTGTTTTATAAATAAACATTGAGAAATATATAATATTTTAATGTTCTGAAGTAGTCCATACTCGAAATGGAGGGGTTGATCAAAGAGAGAAAAAAACTCAAAGTCGTTGAGTGTTTTTTCTCTCTTTGATATAATATTTTGAAAAATCGTTGCTGATGGCAAAAACATATATCTATAAAATTTCTTCGATTTCGAATACCTTGATCTAAGTATATTATTTGACATGCTGAGTTCACAAAACAACTTATATTCACTGGTTTCTGCAGAATTGTGTCTACATCCAAACCTTAACACGGAGTAAAACTTTCAGGCTTGAAATGTTTCCCGACCAGAAATTTCGATAATTATCGTACATTAATCTGCTAAATCTCATAACCCAGAGATCTAGGATGAACAGAGTTGCCCCAATTGCCAGCAGGAGCGAGACAGTACTGTTTCGACCCACCAGGTCTCATCAGCCGCTCTCGGTCTGCTGACAACTGGGACAACTCTACGCTTCGGGTATATCACCCATTTCGAAGACGCAGGGTATAACATGAAGTTGTAGTCATATTGTAGCCATCTTGTGGCAAAGCTCTAAGGTAGGATACAACGATCGCGACACACACTGTATGGCGCTGCCACTCTGTAGCGTATATACGTAGGGGTCTGTACGTGTGACTATAGATGGCAGCGCCATACAGTGTGTGTCACGATCTTTGTATCCTACCTTAGAGCTTTGCCACAAGATGGCTACAACATGACTACAACTTCATGTTTTCACAGGGTGTGCAAATTCACCGACCAATGGGAATTCTGTACACAAACAATGAAAGACTCATCTATAACTGCTCCTGTTTGAGTTATTGTCTAAGATAATTGTTGATTTTTATAGTAATATGGATTTCGTAGGAAATTACGTGTTGGATAGCGATGAGGACATGGATATCATGGAAATTCATGAAAAACACACTGTGAGCTAATTTCAAACCAGTTGATTTCCTGAAATACTGTCTGCACGTTTCTTATTCGCTATTTGAATATATTCTTAAGTGTATACCTACCTCCAAAACTTCAGAGTTTGATTCAAGTTTATGAACTCAACTAATACATCAATTCATCAACTTTTGTCGTGTTTACGATAAAGAAAATGTGAGCAACTCGAAAGTAACATATTTCTATGTGAATCGTCAAGATTTCCTTATTGTACACAAAACAGTCGTTATGTGAATTTCCCATCTCGAAAATGGGGTTTTATATGAATAGAAAAGATTCTCTTCGGGCAATGTTTTCTGAAAGACGGCCTCGAAAAGCCGCAATAATTGCCTCAATATGCTGCTACATCTCTTCCGGCCAAAACAAAAACAATTTAATCATACATCGCAATGATCCAATCTCTTTTCATCCTCGGGGCGTAAGATGAGGAACGAAGAATGTGCGGAAACTGACTTTCCATCGGAAAACTTCGTTTCTTATTATTGATGATACAATATTGTTGTTCAAATCAGCAAACTATCACTATTTTCAACGTTCTTCAAGAAGACATTTTAAAAAAATTAGCAACCTCAAGTTTCAGATGGGTATGTCATTAGGAGTTTTCTTCTCTAGTCAAAAATACTGACCAATGATAATTCAGTTTGGATAACCCTGTATATATTACAGTATGAACCAATTTCAACTGCTACAAAATGAACACAAGAATTGAAAGAAAAAAAATGATTGAATGACATAAATTGAACCA